CAACGGCCCAGCTTATGTAGCGCTGGGCCAGGACTGAAAACCCACGGCCTGCGTTCTGGGCCGTGCAGATCGAAATCCGATCCACGGTCCAGATCACAGGCTTTGAAACTGGTTCAGCCCTTGGCCTAAAACGGCCTGCCTGGGTCCCTACCGGACGTCCAGGCCCTGCCCAGGGCTGGCCTGTTCGGTACCTGGTCCGATTCAGGGYCTATGCGAATGCATCGGGCCTGAACGTCGGTCCAGGTCCGAATGGTCCAACATCTGTCCGAAAACAAAAAAACGGTCCAAACGTTTTTGGAGGCTCAGCCTCTGGGCCTGAATCAGGTCCTGGCCCTAGAACGTGTACCTGGCCACAAAACGGACAACAGCACACAGGTTAGAAAAACAACAGCAATTAAATAAATAAAAGAATATAAAAATACTCTAAAGCTGGCGTTTTTCTGATGCAGCCCCAAGTAAAAATGCCATAGGGCCTTCAGGTTGTGGTGACGCGACCTGGGGGCCCTATTCCTACCTCGGGTCCCGTGCGGGGCCCGTGTGTAGGCTCTCAGCATGTAACACTGTGGAGGGTTCACTCAGCCTCCTGATGAATTGGTGAAACTTCAAGGAAACAATCTGTCACAGCCCCTCATTTGTTGTCCTCTTCTTCCACTCTGGCCACGGTTCACGGGGCAGTTCTCTATGACCAGTATTGACCGTAAATAATCAAAGAGTCGACAGTAAGGACAGAAAAGGAAGAACTACACACGGAGAGGCAAGAGAGCGGTTTCAGTGTGCTCTTCATGTTTGTCTTCTACGTTTTTATCCTTTGTTTTTTGCAAGGTGCGCTCTTTTAGTTGATATATATGTGACAATATGGAAACAATAAAAGAAAGATGGTCCACACAGAAGTATATTTGCTCAGAAGTCTCGGAAACATCAATACATGGGGGAGGCACGCTTGTCTGCTTGCCCCCTCCTTTGCTCGTTTTCCAGGCCAATAAATAATTGGCCACACAGCCAATCATTACCTTTCAGAGGATTCCGCCCTTCGGGGGAAATGATTTCTGTCATCTCTGTCCTCTGATTCACCCATTTTTCGAAAGGAATTTGACTGCACCATTGCCATTGGGCTCCTTTTTTTTTTTTTTTTTTAAACCAGTAATCAGAGCAATGAAAAAAAAAAAATAGAAAAAATTGGGCTCATTTGATAACAATCCTCCGGCTTGCATTGACAATGACTCTGCATGTTAAATATGTTGCCGACTTTTTGCCACGACTTTTGAGAACACTCCTCCAGCTCGTGTCGACTTGGCTCTGCATCATACTGCATGTTAATTAAAAAGAAAAGGGGCCGGGGGTAAATTAGACACAGAGTTAGTGATTTGTATCAAAATATTTATTTCTCTAAAAACAGTAGGATTTCCTTGTTCTTTAGATGTTTTATACTTAAAATCTCTTTTCAATCAAATTTTTTTGTTTTTAGGTTAGGGGGGGGGTGGGGGGGGCAGGAGAACTCAAAAAAAGCCTCCAGTCAGTCCAGTCTATATTCCGGGGTGCAACAATCCGGTGCCTTGTCCACCGTCAAGCTGGAGACAATAAATGACAGCCACTCATCTGTGCATGTGCTCTGTGTCTTATGTGCGACTGTGTGGCATTTGTCTTTTTGTTCTTCGACAGTCCTCAGGGTGTATGATCAATCCTCTGTCTTGGGGCAAGGCAAGCCTCTTCTGCAGCAGGGGATGAAGATGCTTCATGCCATAAAAGGCACGAGGAACAAGAATTGGACAATCAAGAGTTCTCTCTTTCGTGGCCAAGACTGTGAGTTACAAACAGCTCTAGCCTTCATCTATCAATCAGAGGTTTTAGTTCTCAGAGATGGAGAGGTCATTGTCCACTTCTGCTAAGCTTCAATTCCATTGGCTCTTTTTGAGCCTTTAATCACCCCTACCCCCTTGCCCAGCTAGCCCATGTCCTCCTGCCCGTTAACACGGGTCCATGAAAAGGTTTGACCAACCGGACCTTTTTGGTTGGCGGCACCCAGTAGGCGTTTGCCTCTGCCAACTCGGATTTCTAGATGCGGGCAAAATCGCACATCGGGAAAAAGAGTGTTGGAGGTAGTGGTGATTTAAGGCTGAGATAGATAGATAGATAGATGGATATATATAATATATATATGCAAGGAAGATGAGCAACAGTGAACTTCAGCAATCAAACAGCATCATACATATGAGTCCAGATAGTCATGACCTCGAACCAACAGCAGAATTGCATCACGAGATTCACCAAATAAGAACACACCAAGAGTTCATAATTGACAATGCTGAAATAGTCTCATCATCATCAACGAAGAACCAGAGTTGATATCCTATCTGGCGCTCGGCGCCCAGACTACATGTGGCAGATCCTATCTATCCTATACTATGATGCCGAAAGATGACGTCAACAGCTTTCCCGAAGTACGAGCAT